TTTTGTTACAATACTTGAAAACAAAGAATATAAGATAAAACGAATCCAAGGCTTCTCCTCTTTAACCAGCCTAAACCGTCACACGTGCGACACCACATGCGTGACTAACGAGAGCATGACACCTGTCTAGTGGATCTTCAGCTGATAACACAGCTTTGTTGAAACCCTCTGAATGACCCAGAGTCTTCCCAACACTTAGCCAAATCCCCATGTAAACCTTTGGCTCTTGAGATCAACGGCTATATTCTTCACTAACTTAGCTCCTTTCGTAGCTTTTGTCCGACCTTTGGTCGGTGGAGAGGGTTTGTCTAAAGCCACTTCAAGTGTTAACTGTCCCATCTTCTCCATCTTCTTCTGCAAATCCGCTAGAGGGTCTTTTGCAACCTTTTTCCCTTAGGACTCTTCTTTCCATCTCTCAATTTGAGTTCAAGTCGATATAATGCACATCCGTCAGAATCATTGATTTGGTATTCAAATAGATGCCACTCGTGTGCAAGAAGGGGCAACATCTACCTATTGAATCTCTGGAGAGATTAAGAAGTCGAAACTTGATATAAATCCGGTTCCAAAACTCACGAGCTTGCTTATGGAGTTACTTGTCTATATGCAGAACAAGAAGCTCTTTTTCTATAATTTGGTAACAAGAATATAAAAAGACGAGTACGGATTAGGAAAGAAGATGGTCTACAACTCCAAGTAGTTTGATGAATCAAACCAATAATTTTCATTACAAACTTAGAGTTTGGAACCACAAAGGGAAAAGAAAAGTTACAGACGTTAAAGTTTATTAGACTCGTTCTTGTTGGGATCCAACACCTTCACTGTTGGCTCCTCCATTATCTCTCTCCGGCGACTTACCCCGTCATTAATGTAATCAAGTTCCTTTGAGAGCTTTGGATTGGATTTGAGTAATTTTTCAACATCCACCTTCTCCCTCGGCCTGCCACCTAAAGTCGCACGAACTGCCTCCGCTACGTCTATTGCACGTTGAAACTTTTCCACCTTGATGGTCCACGCATCCGACTCCGATGCCATGGACAAAGCGAGATCGGATTCGATTTCAACCCCAAAAATGAGCGAAAACGAAATACAAAGTGTAGGGGATTTGCTGAAAACCCTAATGGAATGGAAAAAATAAAATCGTAGATTCCTTGTTAATAATGCGCAGGGTAAGCATTTTATAAGCATTTTATGGCCCATAAAGCCCATATATTAGTTCAGCAAATTAATTATTATCAATGGGGACAGTACTATTTAATTACCTTTACAAGTTAAACTAATTACAGGTTCATTGTGAACATACAGCAGGCCTTCGAATCCCGACGTCTACAACGGCTACATCACATGTTTTGGGAATTAGTACTAATGTGGGTGTTCTCTTTACAGGTGTTTTTGAAGGCTTGAGTTTCCACTCTAGGGTTTTTTCTGTTGCATGTGTTTCTTGATGGACAAGTAAACATAATAATG